ATTCACATCTGCAGTGATGGATTTCCCGCCCAGTAACAGCCTTCAGGTGTCACCGCGCTGTGATTTAACTCCCCGCTGGCTCCCGTACAGCCCGACCCGACTCACAGAAGGTTATGAACTGCAGACTCAGCACTTCCTGTGATGTCACAGCAGAGGAACAGCTTCCAACCCCCCCAGAACCCAGAGGAGAGGAAACCCAGAGCTGAGCTCAGCAGGAAGGTAGCTCTGAAACACAGCTGAGTCAGTCTGGACAGAACCAGCCGGAACCTACCGGAACCAGCCGGAACCAACCAGAACCAACCGGAACCAACCAGAACCAACCGGAACCAACCGGAACCAACCAGAACCAACCGGAACCAACCGGAACTGAACCAACCGGAACCAGCCGGAACCAGCCGGAACCAACCGGAACTGAACCAGCCGGAACCAGCCGGAACCAACCAGAACCAACCGGAACTGAACCAGCCGGAACCAGCCGGAACTAACCAGAACCAACCGGAATCAACCAGAACCAACCGGAACTGAACCAACCGGAACCAACCAGAACCAACCGGAATCAACCAGAACCAACAGGAACTGAACCAACCGGAACCAACCAGAACCAGCCGGAACCAACCGGAACTGAACCAACCGGAACTGAACCTTGATCACTAACTCCATTATCATCATCACCTTCATCATCACCATCCTCATCTTCCTCACTATCATCATCATCATCATCATCATCATCATCATCATCATCCTCATAACCAAAGGAATCCTAGATCTTTAATGAACCTCCAGCTCTGGTTCTGCTGAACCAGAACCAGAACCTCCCTGGTTCTGGTTCTGGTTCCTCTGACCCAGACTGATCTGCGTCTGGCACTGACCTGTGGCTCTGAGAACACTTCCTGGATGCTGTTGATTGGTCCAACAGGAACACCTGATCCCTGGAACCTCCTCAGCCAATCAGCAGTGTTCTCCTGCAGGAACCTGAAAGGAACAGAACCAGACGATGAAGCGAGGCCCTAATGGGCCAACGGTTCTGATCCGCTCCAATGAGGACCGGTCCGGTTGGAGCAGACCTCTCTGACAGCGTCTGCAGCAGCTGTTTGCGGTTCTGGACTCTCAGCTGGTTGGTTCTGTAGTTTGGGTCCTCAGTGAGATTCTGCAGATCCAGAACCTGCAGGTCCAACGGAACCAGAACACATTCTTAGACTAACTTTCAGAACTGCCTTAGAAAGAGATCCGTCAGAAGCCCCTGGGCAAACGGATCGGACCAGAACTCCAGTCAGACTCACCTGGCACACTCTGACGAACTGCTGATTGTTCCCTGCAGCGACAACCAGGTGTCCATCTTTGGTTCTGAAGCCCTGGAGACACAGAGGAACCATGAAGGAACCAGAACCTGGACCCCAGGAATTCACTGGTCCCTGGATCCAAAAACTGGTCCCTGGAACCAAAAACTGGTCCCTGGATCCAAAAACCGGTCCCTGGATCCAAAAACCGATCCCTGGATCCAAAAACCGATCCCAACCTGGAATAAACTGAAGCAGTTCATCAACCGGCGAAAAACTTTATTTATAAACCGGACAAACAGCTTAGCGCTCACTGTAAGATGCAACATTACAGCATCTATGTTCTCTGGTTCTATCCTGCTCTGTTCTTGTCTGATTTATTCTACTTTATTCTGTTCTTTACTTTATTTCGACCCAAAGGTTGAATCATAATGATTTAATGAACAGATTTCAGCCTTTATCTGATTATTAATCAGAATATTTAACAGATCAACCGGTCCGCTATGGCAGGAATTAAACTACGTCCATTTTCAGTCATTGATTATTGATATCTGAAATAGAAATGGTACCAAATGTATTACCGAGATGTGAAATTCATTTTCAGACACTCAGAATGTTTATTTCAGATAGGAGTGACGTCATTTGTCCTAGTAAGAATTACATCTCAGATATCTGAACGTTTATTTTGACTAGGAAGAAATGCATTTTAGACATCTGGATTACACGTTCAGTCGAGGTAATAAATGTGAAAATGGCCTGCCATACATCCGCTTGGTTCTGACTGTCGGTCAGTTTGAGGAACGGGTTTGGATCAAAGAAAAATAAAGAAAAACAGACCATTTTTTCTGCTGGGCTGAACAAGAACAACATGGAGAACAGAACCAGAACTTTTTACTCTAAAAATTCAGTCCAACAGTTCTTCCTGTGAGTTAATAATCAGAACCGAGCAGAACCTCACTGAGACGTTCTGATGGGAAAATCAACTTCAACTTCCTCAGAACCGTCTTTGGTTCCTCTGAATCATCAGAACTGATCTGGTTCTGAACAACCAGAACTTCTGCTCATGAAGCTCCTGATTGGTTTAACTTCAGCTTTTATTCCTCATTTGGACCTCAGGGGTTCTGGTTCCCGTTGGCCCATCTGGTCATGGAGCTAAATCCATGAGACGGACACGTCGGAATCGGAGCAGGCGGCGAGTCTGGAGCAGGTCTCGGGTCTTTCCTTCCTCATGTTGACTCAGGAGGTTGAATCGGACCAATGAGGAGCTGCTGCAGGTTCTGGAGCTTTACTAAGAGGAGAGCCTCCAGAGGAACCCTGCTGAAAGGCCGCCGCGTCTCTTCCTGCCGACGGCCTCCATCTTTCCTGTCTGACTCTCAGCCACATGAAAGGAGCTGCAAACACAGAGCGTTCACCTCTGGTCACGCCGTTCCCACCGCAGCTCTGCTTTCATCTGCCGCCCCAGGGGCTTGTGGGTAATGTGGTCCACATGGGGATGAAACGTTCAGCCACAGAACCTCAGAGAGGAGAGGAACTGGTGGGCTCCCAGCAGGGAGGCTTGTGCCCCCTGCTGGCTGAAAAAGACCCGGACAGACGGACAGACAGGCAGGCAGACAGACAGGCAGGCAGACAGACAGGCAGGCAGGCAGACAGACAGACAGACAGGCAGACAGACAGACAGACAGACAGACAGACAGACAGACAGACAGGCAGGCAGACAGGCAGACAGACAGACAGGCAGGCAGGCAGGCAGGCAGGCAGGCAGGCAGACAGACAGGCAGACAGACCGACTGACCGACAGACAGACAGACAGGCAGGCAGACTATTCAATTCAACTCTTTTCTATTGCTGTCTCTATGTTCATGGATGTTGGCTAACGCTTCCTCAGCCATCTGTGGTTCTTTCTGGGTTCATTAATTCTGTTTGTTGAATGAAGACCTGAAGGACGCATTACAGACGTTAGATTTTAGATCCAAAGCTCATAGAGCAGCTAACCAACAGGGAGCAGGAAAGCAGATCATTGATTTGCCACCAGCTGACCTCCTGACCGTCCTGAAACTGAGCCTCAGTCAATTTTATCAAACTGTTGTTCTCATTCCTTCATTATCTAAGTGAGGAGAGAATCCTCATATCTATCAGCTGCTCTACTGCTGCTGAAATGAGCTTCCTCTGCAGGTTGGATGGAAGCTGCAGAAGAAGGTGATGAGTTCAGAGACCAGTTTGAGAAACGATTCAGAGAAAATGGAGGCGGTTCGATCAGGAGCCATGACCTGGATCTCTTGGTTTTTAGCCTTTCCAGTCATGTCCTGCTGGGATGACCTCTCTAGCATCTGGAGTCATTAGCATCTGGAGTCATTAGCATCTGTGAACACTAGCATCTGTAGTCACTAGCACCTCTAGTCACTAGCACCTCTA